TGCAAAGACCTAATCATTAAAATTTATCGCTTGTTTTCATTGTAGTGTCCATTGCACTCACTATATTTTAATGAGGAGAGATAGATACTTCAGCAAAATGATCATCATCTTATCCGGAGTAAACCCGTGGAGCTCATTTTCCCCTCTTCTAAGCAAGAGGCCACACTTCCGGATTTCCTTTCAAACATTTTTACCATTGTTAAAAGTATTTGAAAAATGCTTGTACAGGAAGATGTTACACTCTTGATCTTTGCGAGTATCAACCTAATTGCTCAGTCGAAGAAATTTATTGATCAGTGCTCTCCTACCAGTATGCTTATAGCGTCTATGGATAGCATAGCGCTTATCGACCAATTGTCTCAGCTGTGGCCCAAATCACAGAGTATAAGGTGAATATTCTTTAATGAGGCTAGTTATCTATAAATAATATAAAAGTTCAAGAAAATTGAAAGAGAATAAAAAATAGTCGAAAGAAGATAATTTGAAACTTCACTTATACTATTAGATGAGCCGCGGCGACACGGAGCTTACTTATTTCCAAAGGAGATGATTCTTATCGATACTAATAAGACGTGACATTTTCTTCTGAAAAAACATTATGTATTTTGTTAGGTAATAAGACGTACTTAAATTATTATGATTGCAATTCATAAAACACGAGATAGAAATCTCTATAGAAGATAAAACCAACTTGATAGAGTATTCTCAAAAATAGGTATCACTCTTTTACCATATAAGCAAAGTTAATTACTTAAGTTGATATCTTGGTAAAATGTTATGCGGGTCAGGTTCATTACTACGCTCCCTTTACTAGAACAAATTCTTAAGTATTTCCATTTTATAAGCATGAAAACTTTCTTGTATCTGCAATTCGAATATTTAATCATATTATATATTTCAGATAATCAGTTCATTTATTCCTGTAAAAGAAAAAAATGCTCTTTATTTACAGTATATAATTAATTAGATAGAGATCGAATTTGGAAGTATTTGGTCCTTGGTTTTTACACTTAAACTTTTATTAGTTAATAGTTATCGTTATGACTGAATTGTTTTTTATTAATTTTCAAAAGATTTTTTTTAATCGAAGAGAGAGTAAATATTTTTAAGAGTGACTCAATGCACTTTAATCCCTTCAAGTCATATTATAAGTAGTTCCAATATTATGTGGGTATAAATAAGTAGAACTTATCTTTCAAGTCTATGAAAAAGTTTTTTTTTTCGACCGATTCTAATAAGTTCTATCTATATTTGGTTTGTCCATTCGGTTAAAATATAAGTATATAAGTAATGTATCGCAAAACAACCCATATATATCTAAGCATGTTATTTTTTTTTAAATAACTAGAAAACTACATTTTTAAATATACATTCGAACCTTCAATTTCTTCTAAAAAAATACGTATTATGTATTTCGATAGGTAATTAGACATGCTCAAAATATTTGTTTTGATAAAATTCATTAACATTTTTAGTTTAGTTTATCGAGTTAGTCTTTCCAAACTTTAAAAATTTTTTAGATCTCGTAATTATTATATTAGAAAGATATATCATAAATAGACTATTTGCTATTTCTTTCATAGATGAATGTATTCTTTTCAAATTCTATATTATTTGATTAAAAAACTTTTCAGTGTACTTGTCATATTTAAAAGGTTAGTATCAGAAGAAACATAAATGATAATATGATAACTATTATTGCTAAGTAAATTTTGACAGATACACTCCCACCCAATAATCTTTACCCACCCGTAAACAAAACGACTCTAACTTTGAAACTCCATATCTCGGCTGGCAATAAACCTACAGAGCTTTGGAAAGCCTCATTTAAAAGGTCTTTTCACGCACTTTTGAATGGTGTATATCAAAATTATGCTAACATATTTTCCTTGTGTATAGGAGGCAAATGTAAAAACAAAAATTATTAAATTTTTGTTGTATCTTTAACCGCTCGCCATTTCGAGAAAAAAAATCGTAGAAAAAATCTAAAAAGAAGTATTTCATAGATCTTTTATTACACTATCTAAAACACTCATTCATAAATGCTGTTGATCTAAATTCAGCGATTATATGAGCATTTTATTTAAAAACATCGTCTATATTCATTGCTCTTTATCTCGGAAAATTCGAATCGTAGAAAAAAATTTACTTAGGAGAAAATGCTCTATTTTATGAGGAAAATGCGTAAACGAAATTTCATAATCATATGAAAACATTTTTTTCAGTCATAATATCAAGTAGCCTAATTTTTTCAATATTTCATTTTTCTTCACTTTGGAAGAATAAAAAAGATCATTTATACGTGAAGCTATTCTATTTACTATAGACAAATTTTAACTGTATGCATATCTCGATCAACGAAAAACCTGAGTCAGTGTAACAACTATTAAGAACCAGTCGTAGTGCGATATAGGTTTGTTGAAACTCAACAGTCATGAAAATAATATTTGATTTGAAATAAGAACAATTTTGTTGTTCTTTTTTGTCTCAATGTAAGTAGAAAAATTAATCTAATCTATTAAAACAAATCATAACTAATGATTAGAAAAAAAAAATGAAAAATAAATTTTCTTGTAACCTTTGTTTATTATTATTTACCATAGTAATATATTGTTGAAGTATTATTGAAGTATGATACCATGAGATTTGGGTAAATGTTATCAAGTTATTGGATTACAAATAAATGGTAAAATTAATCATCAGATTGCTAATATTCACAATATTCCTCGTCGAATCGTAGACTATAATGTAAATAAATTTAAAAGTAGCGGCAGTGTTGAAGACAAGAAACGTTCTCGTAAACCACGAAAAATAACACGGTCTGATGACGCATAAAAAATATAAACTATGTATAAAAAATATATATGTAAAAAATATATGTTTGCGTAACAGATGTCTTACAGCTAGACAAATCATTGCTGATGTAAATCAGAAATCGTATTGTGGACCGACGAGTCGAAATTTCAGATTTTTGGTACTAAAAGATCAATTATTATCCGAAGACGTGTTGGAGAAAAATATTCAAAAAGTTATATTGTGCCAACGGTAAAGCACGGTGGAGGATCTATTATGATTTGGGGCTGTTTTAGCAGATCAAACGTAGGAGATATTTTTGGAACAAAGAAAAATACAAACAGATTATTCAAAGACATGTTGTTCCTTCAGGCTCACGCTTAATTGGTCCTGGATTTATTTTCCAGCAAGATAATGAATCCCAAACATTCTTCCAATATATGCAAAAATTATATTATGAATTTAGAAATACAAAAAAAGTTAAAAATTATGGAATGGTCACCTGAATCGCCGGATCTGAATCCAATTGAGTTATTATGGGAAGAACTAGATAGAGCCGTGAGAAAAAAACTTCCAACTTCTGTAAAAGATCTAAGGGAAATAATACAAGCATAATGGCAGCAGATTTTATCAACGACCTTAAAGAAACTGATCAAAAGAATGCCCAAACTTTGTAAAACTGTTATAAAAACAAAGATCATTTTGACGAAAAGAAGGTTTAATGCGTCTGCAAAAAGCTTCATCTCATTATTATTTTTTCTTCGTGTCATATTCAAGTTTATTAAAATTAAATTTACAAAATTGTTCATGTAATGTAGTGTCGAATAATTATGAATATTTCGGCTGTCGAATTTTGATGTACATATTTAAATTTTCTTGACAATAAAAAAATTTGCATATTCTATTCCCACATAATATTTTTTACCCAAGTATCATGGTGCCATACTTCAATAATACTTCAACAATATATTACTATGGTAAATAATAATAAACAAAGGTTACAAGAAAATTTATTTTTCATTTTTTTTTTCTAATCATTAGTTATGATTAGTTTTAATAGATTAGATTAATTTTTCTACTTACATTGAAACAAAAAAAAACAACAAAATTGTTCTTATTTCAAATCAAATATTATTTTCATGACTGTTGAGTTTCAACAAACCTATATCGCACTACAACTGGTTCTTAATAGTTGTTACACTGACTCAGGTTTTTCGTTGATCGAGATATGCATACAGTTAAAATTTGTCTATAGTAAATAGAATAGCTTCACGTATAAATGATCTTTTTTATTCTTCCAAAGTGAAGAAAAATGAAATATTGAAAAAATTAGGCTACTTGATATTATGACTGAAAAAAATGTTTTCTTATGATTATGAAATTTCGTTTACGCATTTTCCTCATAAAATAGAGCATTTTCTCCTAAGTAAATTTTTTTCTACAATTCGAATTTTCCGAGATAAAGAGCAATGAATATAGACGATGTTTTTAAATAAAATGCTCATATAATCGATGAATTTAGATCAACAGCATTTATGAATGAGTGTTTTGGATAGTGTAATAAAAGATCTATGAAATACTTCTTTTTAGATTTTTTCTACGATTTTTTTTCTCGAAATGGCGAGCGGTTAAAGATACAACAAAAATTTAATAATTTTTGTTTTTACATTTGCCTCCTATACACAAGGAAAATATGTTAGCATAATTTTGATATACACCATTCAAAAGTGCGTGAAAAGACCTTTTAAATAAGCCTTTCCAAAGCTGTGTAGGTTTATTTCCAGCCGAGATATGGAGTTTCAAAGTTAGAGTCGTTTTGTTTACGGGTGGGTAAAGATTATTGGGTGGGAGTGTATATGAATTCGATACTGAAAATAAAATTAAAAACAATTTTTTTATCTATAAAAAAAGCTTCGAATCTGAGTAATAAATAGCAATAAATTTAATATTTTGAAAATATTTAATAAACTATACAATGTTGAAGTATTTCTAAAAATTTTTCGTATAATATAATTGGAGTAATAAAAAAACGGTAACAATATATTTTTATTTTTTTTGGAAAAGATAATTATACATCCGATATTGAAACTGTTTAATCGATACATTTTTATTCTGAGAATTAATTCTAAATCAAAATATTTAATCAATACATCTGTACATTTAATGTGCAAATAATTGACAACTTACTTAAAAATTGGCTTAACACCTACGAGATATCATAGCAAAAAATTTTATTAATATTTGTATTTATTGTTTTACATATTAAAGTGCGAATAATTTTTCTCAAACTTATATTTTTTTAGACGTAAGAAACATAAAATATATTTTTAAGTAGAGGAAATAAAATAGAAATTTAATTATTTACTAGATTTTCAATTTTTTCATAAATTCTTGTGTTACTATATTTAGCTTATATAAATTTATAAAACCTATTTCCATCGTGAAATTTACTAAAATATTATTTAACTTCACTTAAAATTTTTGGAAAATTGTCTATTTTTGAAAATTAGAATTTTTATGAATATTTGCACAGAATTTTTATGGATATTTCTTTTGTAGCAATTGAACATAGTATTGGTAGCTCATTATTTGAATGTACTATTTACGTGTATCTATTTTTAATAAAAATCTTGTCAGTACTGGCAAGTTTTTCTTAATTAGTCAGATTAATCATTTCAGCTATAATTTGACAGATACATGAAAACTTATTACATAAAAAACTTTATGATTATAGCAAGCGCACAAGTATATTTCAATCTTTAAACTATAATGAAAAAATTAACACATATACAATGCGTCTTGATTAACATTCTTTACATATTCTCAAATTGATCCACCCTACGTTTAGTGTTACCCTTACGAATTTCACGTAATGTTTTGTATTTATCACGACCTTGACGAACATTTTCCCTATGAATTTTGTCCATGATAGTTTCTTTCGTTTCGTCTCGTGATTGTGCTAAATCCTGTTTAAGAGCCTGAAAAATATGAAAATGGTGAGTTAATTTTTATTTTATGATATGATTATTTTATAGCAATACATCGTACTTTAAGTTGATCATGGAGGCGCTCATTTCTTTCGGCTAAAGTACGCCTTTCTTCAATAGGATCAATAATTGATTCATCTGTGGGTAATTCTTTTGTCACATCTCCATGGAAAGTTTCATCTTCACCTTCTTCACCATCTTCGTTTTCTTGAACGTGATGATGATGAGGCGTAGTATTGGCTTGATACTGTCTATCAGCTTCTTCTTGACGAATTCTAAAATTAATTATTACTGAATTAAAAGAAGAATGGTTTGAAATATATTGTATGAGTGATATATTTTTATTATTTATGGAAATCAAATAGCAAAATAAAGCTTTTATTAAGATATACTATTATATAGTTGATATACAGAATATATGGACAGATGTTATTGCCACGTAAATATGTAAAAATATATTATAATAACAGAATTCAAAATGTAAACATATATTAAAAATCATTGAGAAATAATTATTTTATGAGATAAATAAAACAATGCAGAATATAAATATTTCGACGCGGTACATTAACCCGTTTCGACCGAAAACACGACTTACGATTTACCAGTCTTTGGCATCTCGTATCTTATTCTATAGATGTCAAAAAAAAATTAAGAGGGGCATATTTTAAAAGCTTGAAATAAACCCTTTCTTTGGTGAACTTAAAACTGATCAAAGTTATTAATATTTATGACAAAATGGAGTTTGAACAAAATAAAAGCATGAATTCTCCTCTCTCTTTTTTTCCAATCTAGTTTTCAAAGCTTTTCACGTTGGAAATTGACCAGAAACCTTTTTAACCAACAGAATAAATGGTTGAACTTTAAGATTTCATGGTTTAAAGATCTATTTTTCACCTTAGAATTTTCAAAATGGCGCCCAAACCGCAAAATTTTTTGAAATAATTTATGATTTTTTTCTCGAAAACTATGAATTTATGAAAAAAGTACTAAGAGAGAAAAAATACTTAAAATTAATTGAAGAATACACCTACATTTTTTCGACGAGTTCTGAGAAAATTTTTTGTTTATGCAAATAGCAACTTTTTGCAAAATAAAATAATTGCTCAAAATACGTCGGACAAATTGTCACGTATTCTTTGGTTAATTCTATAAACATTTTATTCTTGTCATTTTTTGCGAAACGTATTTTGTAAAATATAATTTTTCGAATGGTTCTCGTTCTGCAATCCAATTGAAACCTCAATAACTGATGGCCGTATCTAAGCTTTCATAATATGAGAAATATGGTACATGGTTCGTATACATATGGTTTTAAGATCGATTTTTTACTAAGTGTTTTCAAAATGGCGCGTTAATGACAATATTTTTGCCAAGACATTCATGAATTTTTTCTTTGAGAAGTATAAACTTTTCGAGAATGTGAAAAAGAGAAATTTCTTAGAATCACTCATAGAATACTCCAGAATTTTTTTCGAAAAGTTTTGAGCAATTTTTTTTATTTTGGAAATTGTCAAATTTTGCAAAATTCAAAATTGCTGGAAATATTGTGAAAAAATTCGAGTGCTATCATTACTTGATTCTAAGAACTTATTCTTAGTATTACCCAATTGTAAACAGCTGCAAATACAGGGGCACATACACCATAAACTGCATTACCTCAGCGTTAATTCTTTCCGAAATAAGGTTTTAAATAAAAATGTTTTATGAACGCTCGGAACTCGCTTTTTTCCACTGTTGATAATAAGCAAAAGTTGTTCACTTTGTTCGACGATAAAAACTGACTGAAACTTTGACAGTACTCTAGTTAGAAGTGACGCTTGCTGTAGCAATATAAGTTAAGATACCTTGCGCACCAGCTCTTGGATTTTCTAAGAACTTACTTAACCATCCTCGTAGTTACAGTTAAATTTATAAATCACTCCCGTCTAGCTTTATTTACAACTATTTTCTTTTCTTAATTTTATAATATTATCAAATTTTTTATTTATTGAAGGAATACAATGTATGTTATATTTTTTCAGTAATTTCTCGCTTTGTAATAAAATTTTTCAACAAATGATAGTAATTTGAAGATTGGAAAGGTTGCAATTGTGTGAAATTTTTGTGGATTTATTACTACATATATGATATCTTTATTCCTTAATTTATTTTCAATACAAGTATCTATAAATTCGTAAGGATACGAATCATTACGAAGAATACTTTTAGCTATGTCCAAATTGTGTTGATTAAAAGATATATGAGATAGTATTATGGTCCTGTTAATTAGTGTTGATACAATATTTCTATTCTGTTGTAGTTTTGATTAGAAATGAAATTTAATATTTCATCACAACAAGTTTTCTTGCGAAACTAATTCGTAATAATTCTATTGTATTTCTTAATAACATGCGTTAAATCTAAACAATTGATATTGTTATCATCTTCCAGCCCATCGCTCACCGGACGCCACGAGGAATCAGAGGTCACTGACCAACACTAGCAACCCTCGCGCGCCTCTAAAACTACACGTTCATCGTTGTGTGCAGCAACTATATCGGATATCAGGTAGGCGAAAGCTTTTTATTTTGCGAAGTTTTATTTACCTTGAAGTGTTTTGAGTTCGTCGCGACTTGAGTCAGCTTAGATGTGTTTTTATTTTCTCTCTCTTTTTCACTAGTCGTAATCAATAGGTGTTGTTGATATTTGTATTTATTGCTTACACCTAACTCTCTTGGCCAGAACTATTATGTTTTGTTTGTCGTCAAACGACAATTAAACCAATTATTTTATGTCACACCAATTATTTTCTTGTCACAGTTGTGTTAGTCTCTTTAATATATCCTACTAATCTATGGTCGCAATAAAGAATCTAATTTTTAATGGTGCGAAATGTATGCGCACCAGCAACGAACATACCAGGAGTGAATTGAGGCGGCAGTTGGGCTCGTATTGAGGGATGAGTTTATCTTTAACGACATTAAAATGTTAATTGATGCAATCAAAAGTTACAATACATTTACAATTTATACATACGTTTGAAACTACTAACATGATCTATTTTTTTGATTTAACGTATATTAACAATAATAGAATTCTTACGAATTTTTTTCGCAAAAACTTGTTCTGATGAAATATTAAATTTCATGCAGCCACTAGACATCTACTGACTGTTGAAGAGGATCTGGAGGTGGTTGGTAGTCGGCTAACAAGGGAACATTCCCAACCATCCTCCTTAAATTTTGTTGCAATTGAGATACTATGTTATACTTAGGAGATCAGATTCGTATTCAACGACCCCAAAAACCTAAGTATACAAATTTTAATTTATATAAGCTAATGTTTGAAAATTATGTACGCCATATTGGATCCGCCATTTTAAATTTTGAAAATCAGACTTCATATTCGTAATCAGCAACCTCGAAAACCCTTATGTACACTTTCATGTTTAGGATAAGTGCAGCAGAAAAATGTACCCGTGAAAGGGTTAAAAACAACAAAACCGCATAGTTTTAGACTCGGGGGGTTGCAACCCCTACGATGTATCAGGGAAACACTACATTTTTGAGTGGATTTTTCGTGTAGATTATCGAAATCATCATAAAAAAATTGAAAAATATATTTTAATCTAGAAAATGATAAAAAAAAATTGATGTGTTTCGGCGTTTTTTCATTTTTATGTATTTCGAGGGTGAACTACCCCTAAACTCTATTAATACTATAACGAGAGCCACGGCTCGCGCCGTTGGCTCCGTCGACATCTCTCCCTTCCCGGTGGCAGAGAGAGCGAGAGAGAGAGAACAAGGAATATGATTTGGAAGCCGGCAGAGTTGGCACGCGTGAGTTGCCGCCGATTGCCCGCTATTCAAGGGTTTTTGGTGGGAGATGCTCGGTGCCCGGCAGTATGTATTAAGCGAGTTTCGAGTGATTATTGTGTTCACCATTCCTGCCTATTCCCTTTTGTGCGCGTCGAAACGTTGCCTTTTGCGTCCTCCGCGAAGCAGATTGGCCTTCCGGGCCCCAATCTATAAAGAATTCGTCATTTTCTTCAGCAATAGGAGAGAACTCATGACATGGTATCCCTTGTGGGGAATGGGGGTCGACCGCGTAACGGGAACGGTCAGTAGTGCGAATTAATTTTATTTTATTGTTGGTGACGAAGTATAAGTAAGTGTAGGCAAGCGCGAGCAGTGTTGTTGTTATCATTATCGCTAGGCATCGGCTCGCTTGGAATGTGCTAGCTGGCGAGTCCGTTGTTTACACAGTGAGTGCGGCAGTGGTGTCGTGTGTACATAGGAGAAACTTGTTGGTTGCCGGCATGTTGTTTACGCGTTTAGAGGAGCGAAAGAGCTGGGTGAGTGCGCGCATTATTATCGCCTGTCGAGCATCGAATCGGTGTGCGGACAACGAAAGGTCGCGAGGGCCCGTTATTTTGTTTACAGTCACGCGTTCGCTAGGATCGGGCGTCTGTTTACAAGCGTAGAGAAGAGAGTTTTCTCGGCGGACTCGTGATCGTTGCCTTGCGCTGTTGCCGGTGCGGCCCGCGCATCGGTCTGAAATTTGAACCGGCTCGGTGGCCGTGAAAATAGAACGATTAGAGACGTGGGTTGAGTGTGTGTGTGGACGGTTTGTAGTAGCGAGTAGTTTTGCATGTTGGATATATGACGAGTGACAGTAAATTCTATTCTTTTGACTGTGTTGAATTGAGCGTTTAACCAGCTGACTCGTGGAGTTTCTCGAGCTAATGCTCGAGGAAGAGAATCCCTCCCGCGGTAGCGCGCAGGAGAGAGAGTTTATTTATTGTAGTAAGCAGTGCTGCGTGGGTGCTCCCCCCCCCCCCTTTTGATTCGCGATACCCCTCGCGCGCAAAGACGGCGTGAAGATGCGCCGTATTCTTAAAGACGCGCGCGTGAATGTATTGAAGAAGAAGATCGAGGAAACCGAGTCCGTCAAGTTGATAAACCTCATGACAATTAGGCGGCTTAATATGCGCGGTACAATTGACGAATTGCGTGATCGCGAGTTGCGGTTTATGGTGGCATGCGAGAGGCCTGATCTTGACCCTCCGCTGCGACCTGATGATTTCGCGTCAGGAAGGGTCCCCGATTTCCCGTACAGGAGCGTCGGTAAAGAAGTTGAAGCTAGCGCGCAAAGAGAGGCGGTGGTCGCGATGCCGTCGCTAGGGCGCGGGCAGTGGGGGATCAGGTCGGAGTTTGTAAGCCTTCTCCCTCCGTAGCGCATGGAGCAAATAGGCGAGAGGGATGCGGATACCCCGGCGCGTGAGTCCTTTTAT